AAAAACTAAAGCAAAATGTTATTTTTACAGAAAAACAAGATACAAAATGTACCTTTTTTTGTCTGTGTGGTGGAAGTAAATAATCTCCTTGTGTATGCAATGTCAAGTTTCATTTCACTGACCGGTAGCAGACCAAACCAAGAGCATGCTAAACCTCAGGCTTCTTCACTTGATCAGAGTGACCCTGACATCTCAGACCTGAAACTTGGAAAGCCAAATTGAGACAAATGGTCTGGCGAAACTGACAGCTAGAAGTTGTTGTCATCAAAAATCTGGCCTGAAGAAGATCGGGGTAATATGATGATCAAATGGAATATTATTGGCCACAGACACAGTTATGCCTTCAAACTTAGGAGATTTTAAAGTTTAACTGCTTTGGTGAATAACAATTGATAAATGTATCAACTAACACCAATGCTTTCTATTCAGTGACCGGAGGTGAAGATTTGATTTCTTTGATAATATATTCAGACTTTATATCTTATTTCACATCCCAGTGTAGCCAAATGCTAAAATAAATGTATTTCTTAAAAAAAAAAATCGAAATTTTTAGTCTGGTCATTAATGTCATTGTGTGAGTGGAAAAAAATAATGTGTATCCCAAAAATAATCACATACATTTTCTTAATCCATAAAAAAGAGGGGGAAAAATAAAGAGTGAAGGGAAAGTACACAAAAAGCACAAACTAATGGCTGTAAATACAAATGACCTCGGCTGACAACACGATGACAACCAAAAGGCACTGCATCCATTTACATCCGCACTGATCTACTTCATCAATGCTCCACTGAGCACAATGCAGCTCATAATGGAACATATTAAAGTGAATGTGTGGGAGGTTTAAGAAATATTGCCACTTACTTCATTAAACGGAGACTCAAGGTAGAGCTGCTTAAGAACAGCCTTTCAGGAAAGTTTTATGTTTATGTTTGCAGTCTGACACAGTTGCTGTTGTTAACGGCATCACTTCTATTCTCAGCCTAGATTGTGATGTAGTTCTGTACGTACCAGCAACCAAATTGGCCATATGGCCTCTAAGGTGTGCATTCTTTTGTACACTATGACTCACCAGGCTATTTTGAAAAGAGATTGCTGCTGGCCTATTACTGTTCTAAGTAGACTTATTTCCCAAGATGGGTCACACAAAAACTTTGCCTGACTGAATAGGGTTGATTATATTGTACACAAGGAATAAAGATTTGAGAACTGGTGTCTTATTGTTGTTGTTTCTTTTGAGGTTTTTTTTTTGGCAATGTCTGTACAAACTTTATGCCAGAATAGATTAAATATTAACTATAAATGGTAAAAAACATTTTACATTTTCATAATACAGCATATGGATAATTCTGTAACTTTTTTCTTAATTTTTATTTACTTAAAACTACTACAAACCCTTAGCACATAACAGTCTTACCCAATTTAGCTATTTTTTTAATTAAATTTAACACCCTTTAGCCTACTGTGCTACGATCATGTCATTTAATCTGTCTCAAAATGCATTAAAAAAGTTTTAAAATATGTCTTAAATAGGAAATTGAAGTTATTGAAAACTTAAATTGAATTTGTGATACTCTGAAGTAGCAATTATCCAAGGGTGGTTTTTTTTTTGTAACAATGTGACATTGGGATATCCCTGCATGGATGCTGCAACATTACGCGACTTATTGTTATCCTTGTGTTAAGGTGAGAGGGTAAACACTTCTCAATATATTGTAGGAGGAGAAAATAACATGAAGACAGATACAGTGCCTTCATGCATAATGTCCCTGTGCAGGTGGGTCTTATCACACACTGCTCCACTGCACGTGTGTATTTCCATTTCAGTGGGACACGTACGCAACATAAACACACACACACACAAACACCGCCAGGCACACCTGCAACCATTTTACCACAAACACACAGCACACACACCTGCTTGAAGTATTTCAGAGACTGAAGCAAAACACAATGTCATCAAAAGACTGAGCAAGATGACAGGGAACAGAGCTGGAGCAGAGATGTACGACAAAATGTCTAATAACTCAGTATTCAAAAGTAAAGCAAGTGTAGTTAAACTGCTTGGTCAAATATCACTCATATAGACCAACGACTGGTTAATGCACACTACACTGTAAAGCAGGAGTCGCCAACTATATTTGATGGAGGGTCTGATTTTTTTTTTGGAGCGAAACTTTCTGGGCCAGATCCTCAAATAAATTGAAATAAAAATATTTTATCTAATATTATGATTTGATGTACACTGTTGCGGGCCAGTTTGGACATTTCAGTGGGCCAGATTTGGCCAGGGGGCCACTAGTTGAGTGTTACTGCTGTAAGACACACACACGTCTTGTTTGACTTCAAAATAATAATGAATGAATTCTTTCTTTGAGTAAATTGATCAGGTTCAATTTGTTGTTCCATTATTTCTAAAGCAGCTTATCTGTGTGCTCAACCAACTGTGAAAGAAAGCCTTCAACGGAGCAGCAGGCAACGCTGACCAGGACTGAGCAACAACCTGCTAATGTGGAGCTCAATGCAGTTTTGACCCAGACTTCAGCGGACTACATCGAGATGTCGCTCTGGATGTTGTACAGCAGAAAGGGTCGGGAAGGTAATGCGCTCTGGTACTGAGAGTACCGGATCAGATTTACTTAGATGTTATGAAAAAGACCTGGTTTCCTTTCAATATATCAACTGATCCTTCTTCAAGGAAGTAACAAATCTTTCTTAAAAAAAATCCTCATATAAATTTTCACATCTTCGCACATCAAATGACGATGAAGCCAATGATGCACTTACAGCCATAGGAAAAGGTTCCACTACCACAACTAAGTCCAGCACCGTTTATGTTGTCATTTACACCAGTAGCAAATTGGGCTACTAAATAATGTTTAGTGAAATTTAACTTGTAGGTTTTTTAAGCATGTTTTTGAGCAGACAAGGGACAATTTAGTAAAATCTGAATTCTCTAAATGTTGATTGATGTCTAGTCTGTGCACAAAATGTGTTTATTCTGAAAATAAATATAATTCTTCTTTCTGTGTTCTGGACATTTCTCTCACTCAGAGACTGGACCAGGCACACATGCTTACATTAGTAACAAACATCACCGACTCAATGGGGTCATTCATCAAACAGCAGGCGTGAAAGACTCATCACACACACGGTAATTGGTTTCTCATCTTCTTCAGCCTACGTGTGGATTTCTTATAGAAAGGTTGGACACGTCGATGGGCTGAGATGACACGTACGGAGACGCGTTCTTGCGCGGGGGACGGGGGCCGCCGCCATCTACGCTCTATTTATAGTCAACCCATGTATCAGTGATTGAAGCACTTGTAAAATAGGCAATTTTACAGTCAATGCACCTAATCACTCAGCTGTAGGTGGGAAATAACATGTCCAGGCAGGCTGAGACATGCCAGCCAGCTGTGAGCACACACAATGTTTATGAGAGCCTGTGGGAGTGTGGGCGTGCGAGTTACGTCTATCACAAACATGGACATGTTCACCAACGCACACATTAGTTCATTCTAAAACTGTTTATGTTGTATTTGCTTCATTTTGGTTCAGAAAACTGCTTTTCTCCTCAGATTTCCTAGTGGTTTCTTTAAAATCCAGTTACAAGCAGATGTTTATCTGCAGCGACACTGAAGAAACTGCTTATTAATGTTCACCTGCTGGGTACTGGAGTGACTAACAGCTCAACCCTGTTGAATGTGTGTGTGTGTGTGTGTGTGTGTGTGTGTTAAGTGCCAGCTTCCTCACACAATAGGACTTGGCTTTTTTAACATAATTGCCCACTCACACAGTCCTCTAGTTTGGAGAAATCTCTAAAAGGTGAGAATTATATAGTCCAACCCATGTGTGGGCAAACATTCGACCCACTTGTTCTTCTCAGAGTAACAACGGAAAATGTTTAGGAAACAATCCAGATTTTAAAACACATGTTCTAATTTTTTGTTGCTTATGTCGTCAAGAAACAGGAACAGAAATCGAGTCCCAACCTCAAGGCCGCAGCACAAATGAATCGATATGGGAAACAAAAATATAATAGTCAAAAGTTAAAATATAGTAAATACAATTAAGTTGTTGCTTTTTGCTGTGATTAATTATTATATTGTTATTGTATGAACATCATGGTGAAGTAATGGTTTCCAGGACAGATTTAGAACATTTGAGCAGCATGTTTCTCAAACTGTGACCCTCACCCACCAGCACTTTTGTGGAACCACGTACACTAACAATGTGCAACTCACTAATAGAAGAAAATACAAGCATATAAGAAGAGGGGTTTGAGTAAAATTTAAATGTAAACAACTTATGTCAGATAACATAAGAAAAAATAACAACCTAACAATAAGTTTGAAAAAAACTTGCTTTAATTAAACCTTCTTTTACCATCTGTGCTTTTGGGAGCATGACCCGTGACTACAATTATGATTAATTGGTTTCATTAAAGTTAATGGCCATCAAACCTGTTAAAGGGCCACAATTAGCCCATGGTCAAAGGGTGGATTAGCCTGAGCTGTGGATTAACCACTTTGATTTTCCCTGAAGAAGTGAGTGGTAAAAAGTCATCCTTAATTCACATTAGAAAAGAAAGACCTTTGAGGTTTGACAGCCACAGTTTGGGGCCTGTTTAAACACAGAGACTGAACTGAAACCACTTTGATGACAATAGGACTGTTGTCTTTCCCTGATTATGTCATGTCAGCTCTTGTTTATCATAACCTTAAAATGTCACAAATTAGAGAAATGTAATCTCATAAGAAATGTAAATGTCAAACATGGTTTTAACTTATACTGAAATAAAAATCTCAAATTTACATTAACTACAAATAATCTTACATGAAATTGTTGAGCAAAACCCAAACACTGAGATTTACCATTTGTTCACTGGCACATCACAATGTATCCAATATTAATTTATACCTTCAAATATAGAAAATATTTTTAATAAATGCTATATAACATATTACATAACATAACATAATTTTTATAAGCTTCTCACCTGTTTGAGCTTCTTCAGATCTTCATCCAGCTCCAGATTGTCCAAAATCACAGCCACAAAGAGACTGAGCAGAATCTACACACGCATCAGGACGAGAGGAGAAAGAACACATGCCGAGCTTTAGCACACAGTTCTATATTAATGTCTCACATGCCCCAATAATAACAAAGAGTAAAAATAAAACTCTTCCTTTAAAAACTGCCCTGTAATTGCATTTGCTGCTCCTGTCCTTGAAGACACAGTGTCTGTCTGAGTTGCGGTGTGAGTCATCCTGAGACTGTCTGTGCTGCCTGATTGCTCTCCGTATCGAAGGGCCAAAATGTCAGCACTTATTACGCCTGAAAGTCTGATTAACTGTGATTAGATGTAGCACTTGAGGGAACACTGAAAGATTTTTAGGCACTAATTGAACGCATTATGAAAACACTTCATGTGTTCTCCACACTACTTCCTTCTTCCCGCTTCTATTGTCCAAGAGTTTGAACTGAACATGAACAGGACTACACTGCAGAGGAACAGAGGCCAGATCTAATAATGTAATGGTATAATTTATAATGAATACTATACTATAATTTAGGATGACAATAGTTAACGCAGAGCCCGATATAAATAGTTTGAGGAAAAAAACAGTTTTAAGAAAATGTTCATATATATATTATATATTCATATAGTTATAATATGTAAATAAAAAGAGAGTCAAATTAAGAATATTAATCTAAATGTATTAGTATAATATTAAACTGTAGAAATTAATGAGTACAACTTTTCTGACAGATAAAAGTTAGCAGACATCAGTAAAAACTAGCCAAACACTACCGTAGGCTGTATAAAAAAGAGGTCCTGTCTCTTATTAATACTGGACACTGCACTCACCAGTGTAGCGAACAGATGGTAGAGGATAAAGTAAATGGCCACAACTGGAGCCCACATGTGACCCACTGCTACCAGGGTCTGGTCCATTACATCTATCCAGCCCTCCTGGGTCAGGATCTGGAACATGGACATGAATGCCTACAAGGAAGGAAGAACAAGATAAGAAGGTGTTAGAGATACACAAGCTAGAAGGTATGGAAGTGAAAACAAAGGAGACGACTGAGGCACAAACACCACTCTGACTCTATCTTGATGTAGGGAAGAGGAAGCACACATCCATTTTCTTTCCCTCTCTGTTGTGCTGCCATCTCATCTCCTTACTGGAGGTCAGGTGACGGTGCTAAAGCAGACAGCTGCAACCACACTGGCCCCTGGAGTCAAGTGGCACTTCCTGCACCTGCTCTGTGGAATCTGACCTCCAGACAGCAGACTCCTTCCCCTACCTGCTTCTGTGTCCTAGTCACTGCAGATAAAGATAAACCCAGCAGCAGGTCTGCTCACAGGGGAGACTGTCAGACAGCATTAACTCTGATGTGTGCTGTTTATGCATGCACACAGCATCTGTGTGAGGCTTATGTTGTAATGACAGCAAAAAGAAGGCGAGAATGCTAACACAACATACACTGGCTTTCCTTTGGTTTATAACAGGGTTCACACACTATACAGGTCGACAGCAGGAAATTAGCTTCTGGTCATTTCTGAGGCTTAAGATTATCCTGTTTACATTTCAGCTATCTAGGCCTCTAACCTCTACCAGCTATGTTCTGACAATCAATTAGCAATAAAGGCTAGTCTCCAGTTTTTGGGAAATGTTTTAGTTACATGTGTGTTAACAACTAGTTTTGCCTTTGCTCTTTTTATGAATACCATTTAGCTCTTTATGACAATCAATTTGAGTAATTTTTGGTAAATAAGTGTATTTCTTTTCATTCAATGTTTGCCAAACAAGATAAGATATATGTCTTTGCCATATATCTTGTCTTTTGGCAAAGACTTATATCTTGCCTACAATTGGATCATTTTTGGCTAAGTTTCTTTTAGCATGGTTTTGGCTTTCAAAAAATGATTTTGCTGTTATGCAGTAGTTTTTGCTGTTTTTGGCTACATCTGCAGTTTAAGAGTCTTATAAGCTTAGTCTAAGCTTATATGTTTAGACTATTCCTGGTAACTTAAATAAAACAAAGAAAACTGCTAACTTCTTACAGCTCACAAAATTGTTTTGTCTTACGTTTGCTCGTAAGCCAAGTGTTGTTGCCAATAATAAAAGACAAGACATTGTTCTTTAAAAAAAAAATAGTTCCAAGTCATCAGTCGACTGTTACAAGCGTTATTAAAACCTGATATCATTTGTGTTTCAAATCCACCACGCAATAATATTCCTTTATAAAATTTTAGCTTTTTAGAATTATTCATATTGTTCTTTTTTATAAAGAGGTGTTGAAGTTTGATAAGTTTCTCACCCTGGGGAATGTGGTAAAACGGTCCAACTCCTCCACGAAACAGAACATCTGGAGGCTGATTGCTGACATGACGATTAGAAGGCTGGCTGTGAAAACCACCAGGCTGCCCAGTTTTTTACCTGGACCAAAGATCTTATAGACAAAATCCTCCAGCGCGGGCGAAATCTTAATCAAACGTACCACACGTAGAACCTGGAGGGGAGAAGAGGATAATGATTTTAGCTCTTTTGAAATATAGAAATATATATATGGAAGCAAACACACTTAGTGAGAGAGGTTCATTGATTACACATTGATTTTAGAAGTGGAACTATTGATCTTGACCAGCGGTAAAGGTGCAGTTACTGTGTTCTACATCCTCTAGCTTGACCCATAATTGCTTATGGTGACTTGAAGTTCCCAAAGGTAATGCAGTTTGGCCAGGGTTTGATCAAAAATCCCCAGAGTGACTAATGACCAAAGTGCACAGAGTCGCAGGTGAAGGCTTCTAAAGTCTATTTGAACGGCCATACCTCACTCTCCAAAGTACGGCTAAAAATGAGAAGGCAAGACGGAAGCAGAGCTAAAAGGGTAAACCACAGTATCCAAATACAATATCACAGTCACAGCATGATGACAGATGGGATGGGAAGACACTCCAGCTTCTGCTCCTCACAGACCATGAGGACTAACAGCCATTTTATAACAAGCTCTGAGAGAAAGAGTGAAACCATGAGAGAGAGTGGGTTCACACCCAAAACCTGGCCAAAAAAAAGAATATTAATCATTAGAATAAGACAACAACAAAAAAATCTGCTTATCTTTGTTTTGTTCTGTTTACGCACCAGGGAGGTGATGAATATGCAACACATAAATACCCTACACTGAAGTTCAGGAGTATTTTACACCAACAGTACACAGAACTGCAGCAGTGGGAGCTGACAATGGCTGCAACACTTTCTCATTATAGTGTAAAAACAGAGTGACACCGTTATTGTCCAGCATTGATGACTTTGTTATTAGTCACATTTGACAAAAAAGAAAGTTTACTCCCATAAAAAGTCATGAAACAAGACAGGGCAATTTTTATAATTCATACAAGAATACTTCATACATGCTACATAGTACTGTAACTGAATAACTCAGGTAATTCAGGTTAACCAACCTGAGGTGGTCAGTGGTGCCTCTACTGCAACACGATTTGCAGAAGAGCCACAGAAATGACCTTTAATGGTTAAGTCAGTCTGGGAGGGATAATGCAGCAACAATTTTAGCTTAGATCAGTCTTTAAATAAATCGTAAAAAGAAAATGTCATTTTGAACCACATACATAGACTAACTGCTAACTGTAACTGCTTCCATCTGATGTGCAGACAAATTACGTACACAGTAGTCATACAAATTCTTAACGAGACCTGAGGTCCGGAGCTAATGATGCAAAACGATGCAATGCAATTATGACGGAGATCTGCAGTCTGGCTCAGAAAAGTCTGCTAACAATGAAACATTTTTTAATAAATTATTTTATATAATCAGAAAATTTATTTTTTTGATAATATTTAACAATCTTTTCTGTGTTAGGGACTAAAATTGTTTGTTTTCTTCACTTTTGTTTCCTTTTTATTTCTTGAAACTGTGTTAGTTAGTGTGCAGTTTGCAATGCTAACATTTAGACATGACATTTGGCTACAGATGGGATTCTAATTCCAATACAGAGAAATTGGACGATAATCAGTTATCACCAGCATGAAAATTAGCCTGAGATGAAAAAGCATTTTTTGGGAGAGACACCTTTTAGACTTGTTTGAAATTAGATATTAACCATGTCATTACTTTTCAAAAGAACGTTATTAAAACATAAAATCAGGAATATAAAAACCAAACTGATAAACAGATCAAATTTGACAGGAAGTAAATGTTTGGTCTGGAGTCTGATCATATTTGAGACTGTGTAGACAACACACGGACTACCAATCAGACCAAAAGTGATAAATGAGGTGTTTACTACATGAGGGTGATGCATCTGATTTCAACTACAACTGAAAAAGGGTTATACAAATCACTATGTCATCTTTTGCCTGAAAGCTCAACAAAAGATAAAGTATAATACAAGGCATCATACGCATCAACAGGCATCATTAGTCAAATACATACAATTCTGCTCCACGGCAGTAGGAAACTGAGGTGTTCAAATGTAAAAAAAATACATTGTTTATATAAAAGAAACAAAAGGAAACATGAAAACAAAACCAAACAGACGTCAGGGTTAGCAGGATTATTTATTGAAGGCATCACTGAACGCTAAATAGGAACTAAGGCAAGGCTAGGCCAGGTTCTCAACATCTAACACACAGCTCCAAAACCGTTACATATCCTTGGGCTGAAGGACCCAAATGTTCCCTGATGTTTTCTTTCATCTAATTTATTCCCAACATAGTGACATGATTTTAACTAAATGTCCCAATTTTGGCCTCTCTCCTGGACACTTTTGTTTTATCTTCAGTAAAATAGTCAAATTTGCACATTAGCCTTTTCTCTTTGTCATCCCTATGATGGTTTTTAAATATTCTTCTAACCATTTCTCAGGCTAATCTAACTACATCCACTGTATTTACAGGTTATTACAATTCTTTGGCCTGCCACCGTGTTTTCTATTTTTTACTTGTATATTTTTTTTAAACTGCTTGATGACTTGAGACCTTTTTAATTATTTATGATATGAAATGATTTATGCAGTAAGGAATTGTGTTCAATAATTAACAGTCACTCAAGGTAAATGACAAAAACATTTAAATTTTTCTACTACGAACACTGAAAGCCAAGGGGTAAAATTTAAAACCACAGAGGTGTTAAAATAGCTAAAGAACAGCATATATTCCTACCTGAAAGTAGGTGAACTGTGAGTGATAAAGGTCCGGGTAGATGTGAAGCGTGGTGCCCACAACCAGCAGAGATTCAAACTTGTGCAGAGATGAGCTGATGTAGCCAGTAAAACCCAGACACCAGATCTTTAGAAGGGCTTCCAGGTCAAACAGAACAGTAAATGCAACCTGCAGGTAAAAATGTGTGAATAATTTGATTGTGAACACAAACCTCCCTCAATACAAAGGTATTATTATGTTTACAATGTTACTTTTGGAGGAAGGTTAATTAGAAAAAAACTAAAACTCTAAAATGTGGATTTTTTTTTCCATTTTTCTTCAAACATGTTGCACATTTTCTTTATTAAATCCTATATTAAGCAAAAGAACTTTTGGTACGAAAACATTAACATTTGGTATGGAAAAATGCAATTAAACACAGGAGTTGCAAGGACATTGGACACCAACACTAGAAAAACATCAATATCACAGGCAACTCACTTCTGCCAGGTAAAACTCATCATAATGTCTGCGGTGGTTCTCGCCTTTGTAATAGTTGCTAGCGGCAACGATGACGTCCACAGCAACCATACTCAAGATGAACATGTGGAACACAGACGACCGCATCAGTTGCTGTGGAGACAGACCAGCGTTTGATGGCAATCAATGTAAATTGCACAAAAGATGGAAAAAGAGGGTAAGAAAAAGCGGAAATGAATACAAATTTCAAAGAGCATTCTGGTTTGTTTGTCACATTACAATCCATCATATACACAGGCAGCTGTGATCCAGCAAGGCCAGTGTGATGAATAACAATCTGATCCGAAATAATAGATCCTTTCCGGTGTGATTGAAGTCTATGACTCAGACAAGACAGATGGACACGCACAGGCACATTATGGTAGCATTGACTTGGAATTACTCTCACAGACAGACAAGAAAAACTGACAGATGAGATTCGCTCTTCCTTCTGTGCAAACTTGTTTGGCACAAGTCTAGTGTCTTAAAAAAAAAGTTCAGTGTACGACAAACAAGCTGAAGGATATTTAGAAGATTAAAGGCTTTTCATCATTATTGTACTTAAATTTAAGTTGTAAAATGGCAAGACCGTTAGAGTAGAAATGTTTCAATCTGACTTATTTTGGGTTTTCTTTCACCTCACTAGACGTTCGCAAATTATCTTCATGTTATCATAACATGTAGAGCTCACAGATTTGCATCCAACCTTTTAGTACCTTTTTTACAGATCTAATATACATTGGCTCTAAAAGTAACACATTTTCTTAACCAAAATACAAATACTTAAAAATAAACTCAACATTTAGTTATGCCATAAGTGCTTTTCTGCCACTTCTGATTTAGTCAGTACTTAAGGCATTGTCATGGTTCATCTTCTGGCATCCTTTACCTACTTTTAAAAATCAAACAGTGCAACTACTCCTGTATTTTTTTACTTCTCCTGAAGTGGAAAGATGTTTTAGAATAATTATATAAAATAATATAACATAAAACAAATGTATTTCATTTTGTGGCAGCTAATCAGGGACTATATTCTAGGCTAAAAGGTGCTAACAGTCAAAGTGGGCCAGTAGCTAAACAGCAGGAAACTCATAGCAATCAAGAGTCCTTTCTTTGGCTGCTGGGAGAAACATTAACCCAGACAGAGGAATCAATGTGTATTCAGACAGCTGGAAACAAGAAGGGAAAGCAAGAATAAATGTATGTTATTTCCTGTGGGAATAGCAGTAGCACAGAATGCCAGAGAGAACATGACATTATGGAAACAATGCTGATATTAAAGAAAGTGAAAAAAGCCACATCTAATAAAGAGTATGAAGCACAAACAGTCACATTCTTTGTTAACACAAACACCCAACTGAGAATTAGAGAGTAGATAATATGACAGATGTGATCACAGTCTTGAACTACACGTATGTGGAAGAACGAGCAGCTTGTGAGTGGGTACAACCACTCATCCTAAAAAAAGACCTGTATGTGAGACTGGCAACAAAGAGGATCGAACGAGTGAATAGAATGGGAAGTCTTCGAGCCAGTGGAAGAGCAAATGCATTATAGGCAAATAGGAAGTACGCCATTCTCTCCTCCTGCACAGAATTATTCAAATTGTTGAGACCTCAAATTTACATTACCTGATTTCTTATTGTGTGGAACAAAAAGATTCAAATCACCAATAAGTCCAGCTCTAGGTATAGTAGAAGTGTGAGCTAACGGTGAGTAAAAACAAAATGCAAATTATTAGAGACAACTCACCTGAATCGATTTTATAAAAACACATACATTTCTAGTGGCAAATTTGCAAATTTAACAAGCTTGTCTGTATAGCAAGGAGATCACAGGTTCTCTAAATGGATCACAAGTTGTATGGGGTTTGCATGTTCTCCCAGTGTTTGCTTGAGGTTTCTCCAAGTATTCCCATTTCCTTCCACAGTCCCCAAAACATGCAGATAAGGGTCAAGGTTCATCGGACAACCTAGATCGACCCCATGTATAACTCTTTTTTCTTGGCCCTCTGTTCTGACAGTTGTCTGGTCTGTCATAGTGCAGACCCAGAGAAAAGTTTTTTTGCACAAGGACATGCAGTAATAATTAAATGACCTGGGTTAATAAGATTAATGAGAAACTAATGAGTCTATGGAGACTCCACACACACACACACACACACACACACACACATATATATATATATATATATAGGTAGGTGGTCTAAAAATCCATGCTGCTTTTGTAAATCAAGATTAAAGTTTGCTCCTTGTTTTCCACATTTTCACACACACTCACCCTCACCCTCTACACACAGGTTAGACTTCCTGAATGAGATTGGACGTGACAAAGCAGTTTGACATTTCCAGCAAGCAGACGCTCTCCCCCACGGGTGTTTTGGCTGAACAGAGTTGTGGGTGAAAGCGTGTGTACATGCATGCATATGTGTGTGAGAGTGAAAGAGAAAGTAAGGGAGATGGGGGCAGACTGACAGGGAACAGCAAGTACACACTTGGGCGTCTGCTCTTCTCAAGGTCTTGTCTTTGCCCCCTTTTCCTGTCAACCGCTCTGAAATCAGAGAGCGGGTGACATCTGTACATGAAGACACAGCCTGTCCATCCCAAACCAGCTCTGCTGCGCCATAACCTTTCAATCTACTGACACATTCTTCCTTTTTCCTTTAACCCCTTCACCCTAAAGATTTTGTGGACTTCTTGAAATGTAAATGTACCAAAAGAAAAGGCCCTCTGGTTCATCCAGGGCAGCTGATGGTTCAACATATAGAGTCTGAAAATGTCAGAATCAATTTAACAGCTTCAATTGTGGAACAAGATGGCTCTCTTCCCTGCTGTTTGATGTTACTTTCTTTGCTTGTGTCTCTCTGACATCCTTCCTCACTTGTTTGATGGATGCTATTTATTTGTGCTGCCTCTGGCTGGGTCTTTGAAAGCTCCGGTGCTCAGGGTGGACCACACACACACACATAGATGTGTGAACACACCCACGCATTAATATTTTATCCTTTAGTGATAAAAGCACTTACATCATTTGTCTGTCTATAACAGAAAGCAAAGAAGTGCCGCAATTAACAAAAACATGCCGACCAAATGTAACACAGTTGCTCGATAAAAGCACTAAAATTCATTCCTCTGTCCTTTTGTGTATTAAACTGTCTTGAGGGCACTTTTATCAAGTTATTCAATTTTATGTTTTTTATTCCATAACATATGCAAATTACCCCTGTGTGGGTTAATTGCAACCAGTACCCCAATGTCACCTGCAATTTGCCTGATTCAAATCAAACTACTTTATTTTCTCATTATACTGTTTTGCATAAAGTATCAAAAAAATGATCTGTGTTTCCCAATTCTCAAATTTCTCATCTGAAATGACAAAACCAATTGTTTCCCCTGAACACATTTCATTACATGGCCAAATCTTTCCAGTCCAAATAAAGAAAGCATGTTCTCCAGTTCTCTTGACAACAACACGGTGTACCTATTAAAAATATGGATTAATATTTTGTTCTTGGCTTTAATGTTCATTTATTTTGGGAAATCAAAGCGCACTGCGGCAGCTTTCCAGGCAAATAAAAATTAGAGACACAAACAAATATTAAGAATTAATTGTCATTTCTTCTTGTTCATTAAGTTATCTGTTCATACCTTGAAACCATTGTTTTCAGGTGTCTTGCCACTCAAACAGAACTGCATCCCGGATCCAACACAAAACGTACAACTCCAGAAATCACAATATAACCAGAGCAGAGAGACAGACAGATAGATGAATGCATCCTCATGCTCCGTCTGTTCACTCAGACTGCCAATAGGGACAAACTCTTTCAACTGCAACATGTGAAGAGAAGAGCGCAGCACATGTGCACATAACTGGCAGGACAGAACTGTATTCACACAGGAATTGCCACCAACAGGCCGGGCTCTGTTCTGGCACAAGCTGCTGCGACAGTTTCGCCGACACTGTTAACCATAATTAGTAAGAAACTGAGTGGGATTAATGACTTTCCTTCAGTCACTTCAAAAGCATTTGGTTTGGTTTAAAATGCAGACAGATCTACAGGTCCTACCAAGGTTACTTAAAACATAAAAATGAAGGGTTCTGAAAGATAATGTCATAGGAATGCAGGTTTATTGATAAGTTATGCTCCGTCTTCTTCAACATTTTCCAAAAGCAGTTAAGAGTCAGAGTCTAACAGACTGAATTGACTTTCAATAATGAACATAGTTTAACTCTATAACCTAGGTAGGGCCTTCAAAATCCCATTTGGAAGTTAGAATATTTATATTTTTATACAATTTAGCTTTTTGCCAATATCCAAAATGCCGATATTTATTTTATTATTTTCCATATTCCGATATCAACCGATACCAATACTGTACATGCTCACATCACATATCTCCTGTTGTGGAAGTAACAAATTACCTATTTTTATTTTGATACCAAAGACATTCCACAAGCTAGCATTGTCTACACCAAATTTTAAAGCGAAACAAGCGTATCTGGTGGAACCGATGAACTGCATTATTGGATTTTCATCATCAGAGGTAAAACCGATAACAATTCCTACCCTAATACATAACTGTGCTAATATCGTGTTGATAATACCAGTCGGTCGATATTATCCGACATCTATAATTTAGGCTGGGATGCACTCTTAAACCAATAATTCCACAGTCCATATCGTTGCTTTAACACACAGTTGATACACTTGTTGTTATTTACACACTCTGCCGGCAGAGTTTTTGTTTCACTAAAACCAATTCGAGTTTTAAAAAAACATAAACGCCCAGCATGGTTTAGTGGAGGCTTCAACCTCAGGTCAGAGGCCCAGGTGGTGTCAGATAAGCCTCACAGATTGAAAGGCAGCACGACAGACACACCGAGGCGACTGTAGACCAATAAATACTGATGAGGAGAACAGCTTCACCGTTTCGACAGCAACCTTTAACTTGTTTTTTCCCCTATATTCAGGAATGTTGGTTTATCTTTATCATTTACTTTGTGATTAATATGATTCCAAATTTTCAAAATCGTTTAACAGCCCATAACACAGGATGTCGATGTAAAGTGGACGTCCTTGTGAAGCCTGACTGACAGCTACAGACGGTTGCATT